GAGGAAACATTTAGGAACTAGAGGAAAGTTGTATTTTTCATCGTTGCTACATCGCCCCCTGACTTGCTCATCTCCTCCCTGAGACCCCTCTGCAAGGGGGTCTCCAGTGGCCAAGCAGAGATTCATATTAATGATATTTATCATAGTGTTTGTTATGAAGCAGTGTTAGTAGAACTGAGGAGTGAGATGCTGAATTTTTCAAAATGATTTCTAAAAATCAGCAAAATAAAAACTGTATTTTCTGAGATGGATAATAAATGAGGTGAGTTAATAAAAAACAATGGGCTGGAGAAGTAAAAGGAAATATCAGGAGACCATAATTCCCATGTAGTTAATTTTAAGGAAGTGGATTTCGGCATCAAATTACAGAAAGTCGACTTCTCCCCACAAGGAGGTTCCATCCCTGGTTCCAAGGAGTCAAGAGGGTACATTCGAAGAGACTTAATGACTTCCGTCGAATGTGCGTTTGAATTGTGGTGCTGGGGCAGAACCGCGCAAGTGCCACGGACTGCTGAAAGGACAGACAGACCTCCACTGGAAGAAGGCAGTGCTAGAAGCTAGGATGGCAAGACTTGCCTTACGTATGTTGGACATGTTGTCAGGAGAGACCAGGCCCTGAAGAAGGACCTCACGTGTGGTAAAGTGGAGGTAGAAGGCCCTCAGCGAGACGGAGTGGCACAGTGGCTGCATCAATGGGCGCTCATAGAAACAATTGTGACGATGGCGCAGGCCCAGGCAGTGTTTCATTTCTGTTGTGCATAGGCTCGCTACGGGATGGAGCGATAGCAAAGTCTTTCCAAGGCCCCCTCACTGAGACCCAATAGGACAGGATAGAAATGCCCCCGTGAGTTTCTGAGACCAGCTACCTATATTGGGTCGCGATGAGTAGGCATCAAATCGCTGAGTTTGGTTTGGAGTTTTTAAATAGCCGTGGTGCCATGGTACTTTCGCTTTGGACCGCTAACCTCAAGGTCAGCCACTCTGCAGGAGAAAGACAAGAGGGACAGCTAACCTGTCCTATAGGGTCACTGTGAGAGGAATCGACTGGATGGCAATGAGTTTGTTTTTTGGTAATGATTTTCAAAGTAGTAAAAATGGATAAGACTCTAAAAGTAAGAAATAAAAAGTAGATACATAGTCCTTTCACATGTGACAATTGGACAACAAAGCACACACCCATTCCGGCAATCTGGTCGGCAAAAGAAAACAGAATAATACCTGTATAGAGTTTGGCTTATCCTAATGTATGTCAGAGAAATCTCCCTCCCTCCCCAAATATAAAGGAGCCCTGGTGGCGCCACCAGGTACTGTGGTGGCGTAATGGGTTAAACACTGGGCTGTTAACCATGAAGCCAGCCGTCCGCCCACTCCTCACTGGGAGAGAGATGAGACTTGCTAATTCTGTCAAGAATTAGCCTCTGAAACCCACAGGGGCAGTTCTCCATGTCCTGTAAGGTCTCTCTGAGTCAGAAAGATTCGGTGGTACAATTATTAGCTGTTTGCCTGCTAACCACAAAGTCGGGGTTTTAAACCCACCGTCGTCTTGGTGGGGAAAAGAGGAAGCTGTCTTATGATTCATCTAAGAGTATATTTGAATTTCCCAAATTTTAGTTCGCAGTTGAGCACCTAGAGTAAATGGAGAGAAATGTAGAAATCTTTCTACTAAATGGCATCATTTGAAATATTGATAGTAAGTGCAGCTTTTACCTTAGTAAGCTACTCATTTCAAACACTAATATCCCAGGGGAAATGAAATACAAAAAGTTAGTAATCAGAAATCCACATACACTTTGATTTCCCCTTTATAAAAAATTTAAGATTGAAGGCCAAGTAGGAGCGAACATTTTGATAAGTCAGTCTATCAAAGTCAGTCTATCACTGAAACAGTGCTTCAGTGGGACACTTTAGGAACCCGGAGGAAACTGAGGGCAGTGGAAGGAAGAGGCCCGGAATTATCTTTGTATGCCAACACTATCATGTATATGATCTTTCCTTCCCATTTGCCCTCATCAGGCTGGCAAAGTCTGCAGGTTCTCGGGTACCAGAAGGATCCCCGGGGTGCAGTGGTTAGTAGAGTTTGAAGCTGTCAGCCATGTTGCAGGAGAAAGGTGGAGCCGAGAGCTTCCATGAAGACTCACAGCCTTGGACCCCTTATGGGTGCATCTATGTATCTGAATGGAGTCGGTGATAACTTACAATTTTCTTAAACACAAAATACCCCCCCTCAATTTGAGGCCTATTTAGTTTTCTTAAGAAACGGTTGTCTCTGATTTCACGAAGTATGAAAGCACACTCACTTTAGGAAAGGAATTAAACTGGGTATATATGTAGACACACATACAGATGTGTGTGTGAGTGTGTGTGCATATGCTTCAAAAAGTGTGCGGAAAGTGGAATCAGCACACAATGGAACTTGGTCATGAAGTTTTTGAAGCCCTGTCATATCTTGTCATCCATTATTCTACGTAATCACAATAACACGAGTACTATATAAGGCTAAACATGACTAACTTTAAAGGGCTTTTTCATTTCTCCTTTAGGATTACAATGACTATCATCGCTACCCACTCCATCCATCTCTGAACAGGCCCTATAACCCACCAACCAATTCTTTCCCTTCCCCTTACTATCCCTCGCAGAACAATGCCCCAAAGTACTCTGACTTTTATAAACCTACTATGCAGGTCCCGAACTATCCCTGGGTTCTCACTGTTCCTGGGGCCCCTGTTACTTATCCCATCCCTGATTTTCCCACAGCCACTAGGTTGACCCCTCCTCCTCCTCCACCTCCTCCTCTTCCTCGTGTTGGGCCTCCCCGCTTTGTTTTTCCCTCAAGTAATTCGGAAGTTTCTGCAGCACCTGCTGCTCGACCTGCCATAGCCAAACCTGCAGAAAGTGAACGTTTGGTCACGGAGCCTGCGGGGCCCACCCCTACTGCAGCCACCTCTCCTACCCCAGAACTTCGGCCTTGTGATTCCCTCAACAAGGTAGGTTGCCTGCACCCTACCAAGTTAATACATAAGAATTGTAGGGGTGCAATGAAGCCCCCAAAATATGAGGGTAAGTCAGAAGTTATTGCTTCAAAATGATAGAAACCTTTAGCAAACAAACCTATCAATATGTGAAGCCATGGCTTCTCGACATATCCTCCATCTAGGTTTACATGTTCCTGAATGGGCTGTTTCCATAGCCCATCCCCGAAGGGAATGATCTGCCGATGAAATTCTTGGAGGACAGACCCCGCTGCCTTCAAAGGCTGACCACAGCTTTTCCTGGCCCTATGCTCATCGATGCAAGTTTCCGTTTCCTTAAACCCTTTTTCATGAAAAGCCTCCTGACCAGCTTGTGTACGTCGAGAAAGTCTATGAAAATTATTGCTCTGTGGTCCTCAAAGATTCATAGCATCCTGAGCTGACCCAAGTTTATAAACTTGTTATTTTTACTTGCAATACATTACTTTTTCCTTTGAGATTTTAAGTCTCTGTTATTTAGCAAGTAAACAATTAAGAGTATTCATTCCTCTGAATGAATAGGCTCTTTGATTAGTGTAAAATTACTTCATTTATACTTAGTAATAGAGGTAATATTTTTGCCCTAAAACCTCTATTTTCTGATAATAATATAGCCACTCCAGTTTCTTTTTATTCAGGTCAGCATGATTTAATTTTCATCCTTTTTTGCTATTTTTGTTTTATATTTAAGTCAGTTTTATTGTAAGCAGCATATAGACTATCCTCTCTCTCTCTCTCTCTTTTTACCACTCTGCATACCTGTGTCTTTTAATTGGGGTATTTGGGTCATTGACATTTCATGTGATAGTGTTATGGTAGGGTTCAATATACCATGGTTCTCTTTGTCTTCTATTTGTTACATTCATTTTATCTTCCCTTTTTCTTCTTTCCACCTTCCTTTGTTTTAATTCAGTTGTGTGTTTATATATGCGTGTTATCATTTATCTGTTGTTGTAGGGTTTATTATATGTATCTTGATCTGATCAAAGTGGTCCTTTAAAAGACTTTACATGTAGTGTAAGAATCTACTAACACTTTCTCTCAATCTTTTTGCTGTTGTTGCCAAATGTTTTATTTTAAATTTCATAATTTATTTGTTTTATATATAAAAGTTCATTTCAGATTATTTTCTAAATTTTTTACATCTTTTGCATATATATTCAATGTTTACATTTTCTAACAGATTACACATGTGGAATGCAATTTGAATAATTGTTTTAATATCTATCATTTCTAATTGCTCTGTTATTTTTAGGTCAGTTGCTACTTTATTGATTTTTCTCCTTATTATGTGTCATATATTCCAAGCTTTCTGCATGACTTGCCAGTTTCTTTCTTAAGTCCAGATATTGTGAGTGGTTTATTATTGAGTGCTAGCTATCTTTGCATCACGATACATAATTTTGAGCTTTATTCTGGGAAAGCTTTAGGATGCTGTGTTTAAGTTTCTATAGATAGGAAAGAAGAGCATTATTTAATTTAAGACTAAATTTTCTCATTACTGAGTGAAGGCCATTATGAACAGTAAAGTCTGGGTCCTGTGAGTTTTGAGGTTTTTGGTTTTTTTTAATACTTTAATTATGGAACTCAAGACTGTCAGTCTTATGTAAGTTCCAGGAACCAGACACTGTCCCATTTTCTCCACTCAGGCATTGATCTCTTGGGCCTCCGGTGGTTTATTTAGATGCATGATTAACACTCAGTTGAAGACGGGTGGTAATATCACTACAGTTTGGTACCCAGGTCTCTGTGCTTCTGTTTGCTCACAGGCCCTCTGCTTCCTGAAATTCTTGGATTCGTGTCTCATTCTCCTAAACTCAGGGAGACCCTCAGACTAGGTTGGCCTTCTCCTTCCCTGTGCCAAGACATGAAATCCCCCCCCTAGGCAATTAGCTATACCAAACCTAGGGTTTGATTCCCTTCTTTTCAGGATCACTGCCCTCCACAGACTACTATTGACCTCTTCAGGAGGTCACATATTTTTGGACCTGCAAAAAGGTTCTAGAAAGAGACTAATCTGATTCCAGTTATCTAAACTTGACCTGAAGCATAACATGTCTGAGTTTTTGGAAACAAAACAATTACTTAATGAGAAATATTGAAGAAACAGTGAGCTCCTAGAATATATTGTCTAGTTGGGAAAATGGTATTCCAACCTACAAAGATGTTCTTAACTCTAGGGACAAGCTGTACTCTATAGTCAGTCCACATAAAAAGCTGTAATTTTCCCCATGTAGCATACACGAACAGGTAAATAAATAAATAAATAAACACCAAGGTTTACTAATGATTAACAAGGATGAGAGTGAGAGTGAGGAAGGGGCAACTAGTTTTAATTTTCAGCAAGGGTTATACAGTTGATTAATAGAATCACTGTCAATCAGTTTTACACTTGTAAAAAATTAAATTGTCTAAAGTTGCTTGGAGAATACATCTACAACAACCAATAGTCATTATTGAGGCTTCTTATGTACAACCACATACCTCAAGAAATTTAGTTCCTTGGCTTTGAAGTTTAGGGTCATGGTTTCATGGGACATCCCAGTTAACGGCATTATAATTGTAATTCATCCTTCTACTCTAGGTTATTTGTTGCCTGGAATCTTAAAAGCCAGCAAGTAACCATCGAATGTACAATTGATACTGTTGATCTATATCCACCTGAATAGACAGAGGAAGAAGTCAGGAATAGGAAGAATAAATGTTTGTATGTGGCTAATTGATTCCAGGCGTCGTAAATGACTGACTCCTTTGCCTGTGACCAGAACTGGATGGTACCTGGCTACAATGACTGAAAAACTTTATTAGAGATTTTAGAGCAGAATACAGATCAAAAGTGTAATATGCAGAACACATTGTCCTATTCTGATGGACTCCTTATTTTCTGCGGCCACGAAAGCTGGAATAAGCTCCTGAGGCTTTGCCTTGAGATAATCTTGAAACCATAAACCAAAAATATCCCCTGGAATCTGGTTAAAACCAAGCAATAAACCACAGTCACTGAGAGAATTCAGACTCACCATGACCCATAGGACAGAGTAGAATTGCTCTCTGGGGTTTCTGAGGCTGTAAAACTTTACAGGAATAAACAGCCTCATCTTTCTCCCAAGGAGTCACTGGTAGGCTAGCATTCTTATACACAACACCATCGGGGATCCTAAATCCAAACAATATTTTACATTAAATAGTAAAAACATCTCTCTTGAGCATCAGAATTTTTAAACTATATTTATGTAGGATCAAAGTGACATCCGCAACTTGAAAGATCTAATAGGAAATTTAAGGGACAGTGTGCTTGAGTTAAAACCAAAACAAGTTAATTGCACATTCATCTGTTAACTGCAGTTCAAACCCACCAGCCGCTTCACAGGTAAAGATGGAGTTTTCTGCTACCTTAAGGGGTCACGGTCTCAGAAACCCACCTCTGAAGGTCTACCCTGCACTACAGGGATGCTAGGAGTCAAAACCGACTTGAGGGCAGTGAGCTGGGAGCTTGGTGCTCATGTTAACGGAAGAGGAACATAAGAAAACGTCAGTAAGAAGGAGTATACAACTCAAAGAATGTAATCCTTGTCACTAAATTATAAATGTCGAAATTGTAGAAATGATATATGCCCAGCAAATCTCGACAACAAAGTAAAAGAAAGATAAAGAATGATACCAAGAGATTAAGTTGAACGGTTGTTTGGAAACATAAAAGAACTACTTTAGTCTCTAAATCTTCAAGCATTAACACACTCACCCTGTATGTTTCTTCAACGTGTGTATAAAAACACAGAAAATGATAATAAAGGTCCTTGAAAATAATCTTATTATGAAAGGAATATACTAAGAATCTTCAAAAGGAAGAGTGGTATGACCAGTTCTCTCTGTAAAAAGCTAAATGTGGAAGTAAAATTTGAATATGAATTATGAAGATCAGTAGTATACAACTTCCCCCAAAAGAAAGAATATTCAGAAAATGTTAGGCCTAATACCATAAAATAAAATATTTTTATCACATATGAAAATCTTTTTTTCTTTTATTTTTTAGGTACAGAATTGAAATTTTCTAGACAAGAGAATACCATGCATTTGTTTCTGTAAGTCATACATATGAATGTGATTAAAAATATTAGAGTAAATTGACTAAATCTTATCATCTGAAACCATCTTTGAATTTTTTTTTTTTTACTACATGAGAAAAGGAAGGTGGAATATGGATAAGTCCTGGTAGTTGCTACCTCAGAACCTCTGAAAATATGAACTTATGTCTTGTGTAAGGAACTGGGGGTTTTAATAACTATAGACTTCGATAAAGTGACCTAAATTGATTGTTTTTTGTCATTTCTACATTAATTGTGGTCAATAGGTAGAATACATTTCATATGGGAGAAAGGGGTGGAATTATGCTCAAGGGGAGGCACTGTTTGTAAAATGGTCATCCTTTATGTTATCCTTCCAGCCTCTCTCTTTATGCTTTACGAAGAACCATTGCTCCTGAAGTCCCACGTTCTGCATCTCTCAGTCCCCTCTGCCCTTCTCACTGGCCAAAATGGTCCATTGGCCTGCCGATCGCCTAGTCATCTGATTAAGCAATGTGCAAGAAACGTGGACCCCTTTGTTCCAACTTCTTGTTCTTGTCATCTTTTTCAGAGTTGTTCCAATTTATTGTCATAAATATTCATTGTACAGAAAAATGGGAAGGTTTGATTGAACTCTCAACTACATTGGAAGTTGTGATGAGTTGCATCGATAACGAAAGTAGAATTAATATACAAACATGATGGCGGGGAGTCTTGCTCATGAGGTGTCATAAGAAGAGCAATTGCCACAGGAATTAAAATCCTTCAGTTTTGAGTTAATCCTCGACTATATTCCTTTTCAATTTTTTATTTTATTACTGTATAAAAGGAAAGGTTACTCAGTGAATATTTTTTGCTTAATATATTAATTACTTATTCATGGTGGGAAAGAAAAGAAATGATAAGTTAGGAGAATAGGCTCTTAATAAAAATATTTATTCTGCTTCAAATAACTCAATTTCAGGAGATATTGTTGGTCTGAACACCATATTCACTCCCACACAAAATATCCAGTATAATACCCACATATATGTAAATGAACTGTAGTACAAATTGTACTTAAAATAAATTATTAGAGGAATAAATAATACAAAAACAAAGATAAACCCACTGATTTCCTAAAAGTGCAATTTAATTTTTGCCTTGAGTACAAGCAATTTGTTAATTTTCATATATAAAACTGTCATTTTCTTTTTTTCAGATACTGGTACATAAAATGAAGAACTCTACAGAAAATTCTTTCTTTTTTCATGATCATTTCATTCTCTTTTATTAAAAATACCAATCTCATGACATTTTTTGGTTGTTATGTTTTTTATTGGACTTAATTGATACATAAATCATTCTTTTAATAACATTTTTATTGGCATACAATTCACCTATCTTAGAATTCAATAGTTCACTCACATAAAGAAGAATTGTACTATCATCACCACAATCAGTTTTAGAAAACATTTTCTTCACCCCAACTTATAATTATTCTTCGACTTATAATTATTAGCTCCTCAATCCCCTCCCTCCTTCACCTGCCATACCCCCGAAGAACCATTAATCCAAATTCTGTCCCAACAGATTTATCTATCCTGGATTTCATACGCGAAAACTATTTTTTTGAACCAAAAACAATAACAAAGTAAAACAGATGAGAACCTCAGTTGAAAACTAGGGCAAATGTAAGTGGACCATAGGGGAGATAAAATAATAGAGTGCTAAATGTTACCCAACAGCATCTGCCACAATCCGCTTTCCAGCGCATGCTGCGTGGTAGCAAGGCTGTTCTCACCCTGATCCATAGTCAGAGGGGACTCACCAGGGGCTTGATCTACAAGAATTTCCCCTTCATTTTTCTTTTTTATTTGAAACAACTTTAAAATGGGTCAAAAAGGAGATCAGATGATAAGAGATTACATTTTGACATGACTACCTCGGCCATATTCGACTTTACAGTGCTCTCTGTCTGGTAATAGGGCTATTTACAACCCCTACTTATTCTCACATGGAAATCACTAGAGACTACTTACTACCTGTGTGAACCCTGCACGGGGCTTTTGGGCTTCCACTGTCATCCACAAGCTTCTGGAAACCAGGTGTTCACAATTTAATCCCTAACACCATTGCCTATCTTTAGATTTGGGTTATGTGTTACAATCCTTGGACCGCACAGGTTGGTGTGCTGCTTCCACGTGGACTTAGTTGATGCCTCACTTAGATGGCTGCTTGTTCGAATACAAGCCTTTGAGATCCCAGCTGCTTTTCTTTCTGATAGCCGGGCACCATCTAATTTCTTCACCACACTTTGCATAGCAAATTCCACTACTGTAAGATAAATCATTATTCAGGTATAGTTTAGTTTTATTTTTTAATTGAAAAATTTTAAGTCTTCTTTAAAACTATGGAAAGAAAGCATTAAAGTCAAAGAAATAAATATTTTGAACATGGCGTAAAAACACTCACAACATAAGTATAAATTCTAAGAATCTTCCTATAACAAGCACCACTGTGTTATTCTGAGTTGGATGAACACATTGGCTGTGACAGGGGCTTGGGCACAGGAACATGGTGAGGATGGTGCAGGACGGGGCAGTGTTTGGCTCTGTTGTTCACAGGGTCACTGTGGGTCAGAAGGGACTTGATGGCACCTCACAGGGACATGACCGATCCTCAACAGTTTAATATACCTCTCAAGAATTATTTCATATCAATGTATGTGCACATATCTGGCCAATTCTAATTACTGTTCTACATATCTCACAAATGTCGATTTAAATTTTTACAATAATAATATAAGGTAGGAAATATTAGTATCCCTATCTTAAAGATCAGAAACCAAGTAACTAAGAAGATAAATGATCAGCAAAATGCTACTTACTTAGAAAGTATCAGAAGAAGAATGGGAAAACATGCTGAGAAAACATGGAATTAAAACTTTACTAGAAGTTTTTCTTGTGGTTAGATTCCATGGAGTTGGTACCGATTCTTAACAACTTTATGTAAAACAGAATGAGGCACTGCTGCATTCTCACAATTATTATAGGAGGTCTTTGTGGCCTCCACTGTGTTGGTCCATCCAGTTGCTTTTTTCTCTTGCACTGACCTCTGCTCTACCAGGCAGTATGTTCTTCCGCAGTGGCTGGTCATTTCTATAACATATCCTAAGAACATGAGGGGCCTTCTCAAAGTCCCCATTTCTAAAGAACATTCAGATTGTACTTCTCCTAAGACAAATTTGTTCAGTCTTTTGGTTATGCACTGTATATTCAATCTGCACAAACACCATAATTCAAAGGCTTCGATTTTTCTACAATCTTCCTTATTTATTGTGCAGATTTCACATGCATATAAGGCGATTAAAAATACCATGCCTTTTCAGCAGAAAAGTGGGTGAAATGAGGCAGTAGTCAGTGTAAGACATGGGGGAAAAAAGAAGAAGAAGGATTTATAAATTATCAAGGGGGCATAGAGGAAGGAGGGCGGAGGAGGGAGGGTAAAAAATAAGGAGCTGATGCCAAGGGCTCAAGTAGAAAGAAAATATTTTGAAAAAGATGACAACAAATATACAGATGTGTTTGACAAAATGGATTTATGTGTGGATTGTGATAAGAGCTGTAATAAAATAAGATAAGAGCCCCCAATAAAATAAAATTTAAAAAATTTCAAAATACCATGGCTTAAGTCAGATGCACCTTAGTGCTCAAGGTGACAACTTACCTTTTTAACATTTTAAATATGGCTTTTATATCAGATTTGCCAAATCAATGCATCCTTTGAGTTCTTGAGTACTGCTTCAATAGTTGCTTATTGCTGACCCAAGTAAAATGAAATCCTTAGCAACTAATATTTGCTCCACTTGTGTCATCTTAATACACAGGTTGTTAATGAGTCTTTCTCCAACTGTAATGTCACATACTGCTTCCTATGATTCCCCTTCATAGATTGTTGCTCTATGTGCAGATTAACTGAGCAGAGTGAAAAGATAAAACACCGTGCCTGATTTTAGACTACTCAATTAACTTTTATTATATTTAAAAACCACCTCTTTGGATGTTTCCAATGAACACAATTAAATGTTGTGGAATTCTAAGTTTTTGCAATCCTATCCATAATTTATTATAATCTATGCCCTAAAATACGTTTGCATAGTCAATAAACCATAGACAAACACATCTTTGATGTGTTTATACTTTCAGTCAAGATCCATATGAAATTAACAATATCTTTCATTGCATGTTCCCTTTGGAATCTGACTTGAATTTCTGAGTTTCCTGCTGATATATGCCTGCAAATATTTCTGAATTATATTAAGTAATGTTTACTTAAATGTGATACGAATGATAATGATTGAAGATTTTCACATTTTGTTCCATCACTTTTATTTAAAATTGGCACAGATATGGATCTCTTTCCATCAGTTGGTCAACGCAGCATACCTTTTGATTTCTTGGTAGCTACTTCCACGATTTCTTGGTGACAATTTCATCTGGCTGCATCCACAAGGAAAGCAGCAGTCGAGAGATCAAATGACACGTTGGGCAAATCTGCAGTCTTCCTTAGCTTTGCCATCAACATGGGACAATTGAGAAAAGCATCTATAGTGCAGCCGTCCCTTAGTAGTCAGAGTGAGTACTAAGAGCTTCTCACCCTTTAAATGGATCTTCTGCAGCAGATTTTCTCAATGCTGCTTCCACAGGCACGGATTGGGGATCCAAGCAAAACCAAATGCTTGAAAACTTCGACTATTCTCCATTTATGATGTTATCTCTTGGTCCAGTTGAGAGGTGTTCTTTTCCTTTACATTTATTTGCAATCCACACTGAAGCTGTAGTCTTGGATCTTCAACAGTAATTTCTTTTGGTCCTCTTCGCTAGCAGCAAGTAAAGTTGTGTCAATTGCATATGATAGGCTGTTGATGAGACTTCCTTTAATCCTGATGCTGCCTTCTTCAGCATATAGTACAGATTCCCAAACTAGTTTTTCCACCATG